AGAAGGCAGTTCAGCTCGTCTGGTGTTCGCTCTTCCGGATCTTCCAGAATATGTGTTTCATCCTCACTGTTTCCCGTCGATGTCAAACAAGTTCCAGCAGTTGACGTTATTTTCTCTTCTTCCTTCAACAACCTTACAACATCATCCCTGGAATAACTACAACCTGTGAGAAAGAAGACATTCTACCTTCAGGGGTGTATAATAGCGCGGCAAGCACATGTGCACATGAAATATCTGCTCTCAAACCCTGTACGCAATCACATAAAAATCATAAGCATAGGCCTTGCATTTATTACAAATGATTATTGATCTAAATAACACTGATAAGTCATGAATAGAAAGGAAATGGTTCAAGAAGCATTATATGTTGCGGTCACACAAGCATGGCTGCTGTTCAACGTAATGAAGCCCTCTTCTATCCCGCACGGTCCATAGATCTTCCTCCACCACTTGGATTTCACCTTGACTACATCCAAACAGTTTGACATCTAGGGCATGTGCACGGTGTTGTTGCTTAAGTTGGTATCGACCCTTACGCAATCCCCTAGTCATCTGCAAGCATTCATAATATGCACTTGAAAAGTTTTGATAGGGTGTTTAAGATGCAGAACCCTTATGGCACGTTCCTCTTCTATGTCTGGAACAATAGTTATCAAAATATCTATCAGCGCATCGCATATATCCTCATATTCGTCTTGTTAGAAACCTCAAACTTAAGCTCCCTGTGAAATCATTCAAACAACATACTTCTGCGAGCACATAATTTCTTCCTTCCAAATACCCCTTCTGTTGTACTCGAGGACTCCTGTAAATCACCCCAATCTAAGCAAATCTCAATGTCCAGTTCAGCAAACCAAAACAATACCATATTCTTTAGAAGTATTCTGCCGCTCTTTCACCATGGTCATTGAAAAACATTGTTAGGCTCGAATACTGAGACGTGAAATCATTTGGATTAGTCGTTCTACAAAGCTTCCTCACGGTTGCCAAAAATGATTTAGACTTTTCCTTCTGCAATAAAAATAGTGAGCGCCTCTCAAGCACCATAGCTTCGAACGCATCTGTTTTGGTTTTGCATTGCAGTTTCTTTTTATCGCCTGAAGAACATGAAAGGAGCACAGCAGTTTCTGAGACTTCGTGAGACTTATACATAGACGCCACTTCGTCTTCACTTGTTCTGAAGACAGCCCGTTTGTTCTTGAAAGGAGTAAGCGATTGGAAAAGGAGCATAGCTAAGGAGCGGTTAGACAGTAGGTACGCAGCAGATAATCCGCGTTCCCATCCATCCAGGACAATTATGGTCGTCAATCTCAGGCAGTACGGGGTCAGGGTTGACTGTATCATCCATACAAATAGCTCGGTGACCATATTTGGCAAGCCATGCCTTTTGCAATGGCGTGATTATAACGTAAGTGGCAACATTTATGTCTGATTGTGTACAACTTGTGCTCCATCTCACCAAAATTGAATAGTTTGCCACTTTCTTCAGTCGCAAGAGCATACAGCCTTTACAGACTGCCGTCGTCTTCCACATTCTCTTGAACTCTCATTTCAACAAATCTTGTGTTCATACATCTCACCTCCATGGATCTATTTTTCTCCAAATAGCAATGCTTTTGAGTTGCTCACCATTACATATTATTATTATACATATCTTCAACCATTACATATACTACATTGCGATGAGAGTTAGAATTTTTTATATTACCTTATGTCGCTGTAGGAGGTATAGTAAAGGAGCAAATATCTGTCGCTTTCACGACTCCTTCCGAATTTCTTTTCAAAATTTATAAGGGCCGGAACACTTCCTTGAGAAGCGAAATTATAAATTGCTCAGTCGTCGTGTCCATCCTCAGAAGAGCTGGCTCTGCTTCATGACCACAATGAGTAGAGCAAAATTTCACTTTGTAATTATTCCCATTTTCCATCACCTGGAATTTAAATCAAGCATCTCAAGATATAACGACTACCTTCATGAAAGCAGTGCAATCTCTGCATTTTGATACAGGGCGATCGATATTCACATAAACTGGAATCGGTCTCGCACGGCTGCAACGCATGTATGATTCCGATCCCGCTGGGAGTTTCTTCCGAGTAACTACAGAAAACCTTGTAACGGCTTTGCTTTCGAGCTTATTGTCCCACTTCTAAGTAGGAAACAGCAAACATTCGTAATTGGTAGTCTCCAATGATACCAATACTGAATTACTACTTCGAATTTCTTCCGACTGCCGAACTCGGCCGTTCTATACACTGTTTGTGGAGAACATATTCTTCATTGACGTGATTAATGAGCTCCCAGTGAGAAGACATTTACCAAGATCTCTGAATTAATCCCGAACACGTTCTGGAAGCAACTCCAGCTCCTACAATTTAACTGAAGAAATGCGGAGGCCCACACACCCTCAGCTGCTCCTCGCAAACAAGACAATACAGAGAATTTCTCGCCTTCGTCCTTATACGACCTTTTTGTATGCTGCAACAGCGTTTCTTTAGTTCGAAATGCCCCGCCGCACTCATCGCAAAGTAAGATTTCACTCGTGGTTGCGAGCGCTTCGAAGATCCTTTGTTTTTCAGTTCCTCATTGTTCTCCTTAGAATAGGCGTATTTCCGAAAAACATAGCACAAACATTCCTTCTCTCGTGCGAATTTGCAAACTGGAAGATTAAGAAGATTTCGAAATGAAAGCGGACCTTCCTAAGGTAATTTTGGATTCTCTTCTAGGATTGGACGGACATTCATCCACGCTACTACAAGAGACAGAAAACGATTTACAAGAATACAAAGCTTCCTCGTTTAAAAGAAACGTAAATATAAGCACCGATCAGAATATTGCACATGATAATGAAGCGAAAACGTGGAGGTTTTTATAGAAATCATGCATATTAGAATAAATGGAACGGTAGTTTTCGCAGTCACTCAAGTAAATAATAAAAAAATAGTTTGGAAAAGATCGTCCACATAAAACAGTTCTCCTCAATTGCAATTCATTTATTTAATGCTTTAGGTGAATTGCACAAAAATGCACAACGATGAAGGCGGCATGAGTTTTTGGAAAAAGCGAGCAGAGATATAGTAGTAGAAGTAAGAAGTTGCACACACTTACTAGTTCCTAATCGTACACGGTGACTGTATTTTTCACCCCACCCATTCTGCCTCTGAGCAAAGAAGATGAAACAGAAAGCATGGGAAATACTCCTTCGAACCCATTTCCATCTATTGAATAGAAGACAAGTTCCTTGCTTTTCTGACCTTTTCCCTCAATACATCAGGAGTAAAAAGTCCTACGAATGAGGAAATCCAACTTTGCTTACAAATCAACACTAACTAACATTCCATTGCAAAGCGGGACTTGGGCGAGATTGGGTGTTTTCTTGTCTGTTCGAGTTTCTGGCCGAGTGAATACAAAGGTAAGGTACATAAAGCAAAAGAAGAAATCATGCAAGAAGGAGTCAGGATTTCAAATCCTTTAAATGAAGTGTGGCGTGGCGACCATACAAGATTTCATAATCCCATGGATACTGTAACGTGGCTAAATTCTAGAACCACAAGAGATTTCGTAATCCTCAGCATTAACAGTGTGGTTCGAGAACTGTAGAAAACATACGAAGAGAGTTCACTCAACAGGCGACGAAGTGAAGGTGCGAAATAACCATACATGCATAGCCTCAATAACATTTGTGATGAAAGCCAAATAATCTGGATGTTTCGTTCACAAACTTTTCATTCGAATTCTTCTACCCAAATAGCAAATGCATCTGTAAGCGTATGCATGTGTGGATACATGCGCACATTATATATATATATATATATATATATATA